ACGATTGGATGAAGGGTAGGCGAGGATGATTGGTCTTTGTCATCTAAACCTCAGAAATTCAATAAATACTTGAAGTACCATTCCGGACATTTTGCTCGTTGTGGTGGCTGGTTGGAGCATGAGCATCAGCATGAGCATCCGCCTCACTTCCCTCGATTACGATATGAAAATCTAAATTTAATTTAATCAGGAATTCTCAAAAATTAACAACCAACCAAATGAAGAATTTTCGACATCCAGTGGCTCTTGCTTAACTTCGCGTTGAGTATCGGCCATCGTTCGATGAGTCGATTTCTCTTTGGATCGTGGTGGAATAGCGTCTGGCACCACTTCTTGCTTCACCCTACCTAAATATTAAAATAGGAAGATGAATGACGATTTTCTGTGTAAATACAGAGCGTCCTAAAAAACCCGCTTCGCGGCTTTTCAAACATGGCCCCGTTTGTGCCTTACATTACTCCAATTCCTATGACAAAAAAAAAGAAAAGCGTTTCCTCTCAAGCTCAAAATTTGGAAAATTTTGACCCTTTGTTGGTCATTTTTCGCGCCAATTAGAAACCATTCTTATAGAATTTCCCCCCGTTTTTGGATATAAAAACAATATAAAACAACACTAAAAATTTTCGAACATTTTTCTTTTTGAGTCGAAAATATAGGAAAAATGGTCAAAAAGATCAAAATTGTCGAATTTTCAAAATTTTTAAAATGTTTTTGATAACTTTATAACCTATAACGATACATGATATATAATCAACAGTTAGGGAGATAAGCATAAAAACAAAAAGTGGTTTTCCCCCGTGCTAAGAACCCCCCCCTCCCCCTCCCCCGCTAACAGTCCAGAACCAGAGAAACATACCAGCATCTGACGATGCAGCTTCCGGACTTTTCTGCGCGTTTCGCCTAACGTCTTGAGTGTCATCTTCTAAAAACACGCATCAAAAAGACAGGAAAAGATTCGTACCGTCAACAGATACGCGCTGAATTCCCAATCCGTACTTTTTGCCTCCAATGTACTTTGCGAGAGACTTTGCGCGGCTAGGAAAGTTGGCTTGCGTCTTCGCTTTGAGAGCATCGTAGTACTCAGCAGTGCTAAAAATCATGCTCAAAATCAATCCGAGCACGTACCGATTATCGATGACCCAGCCTTTTCCTTGATGGTGCTTGTTCAGATGCTTTTGCAGATTGCCTTTCTCAGACATAGTACATGCGCAAACTAAACCAGGTGTATTCGGAACATTGAAATACCAGAACACTTCCACGGTCGGAAGGTGAGGTGTTTCGACGAGTGCTGAGCGAGCTCGAAAGCTACATAGCAGTAGATAGATTTACTGCACTCCTGCAAAAATCATCGAATGGCTAAGCATGTCTGACAAATTTTCCGCGAACGGTGTTCCAATACAAGACACCAGTCCAAAAAAAAATAAACGACGCATCCCCTACCCCGCAGACGAGGATTTTTCGACCGTAGGGCGGATTGTCATCTTCTGAAAAATGACAATCGAGAAGGAATTAAAAGATTCATACCATTATCAGATGCATCTTGAAATCCCAATGCCTCTTTTTGTCCTCCAATGTATTTAGCGATGGCACTTGAGTGACTCGGAAAGTTGGCCTGCGCCTTAGCCTCGAGCGCATCGTAGTATTCGACAGTGCTAAAACTCGTGCTCAAAATCAATCCGATCACGTACCGATTATCGATGACTCGGCCGTTTCCTTGATGTTGCTCGTTCAGATGCAGTTGCAGGTTGCCTTCCAGAGTCATAGTACAGGCGCAAACTGGAATAGGTGTATTCGGAACATTGGAAATACCAGAACACTTCCATGGTCGGAAGGAGAGGTGCGCCATCGAGTGCTCAGCGAGGTGACTAGGATCATTTCTGCAGCTCGCCTTGCCGCACTGCTAAAATAGCATGAATTAGCAGGGTTTCGCTGAGAAGTTTTTCGTTATCTATCAGAAACTATCATATCAGCCCGCATAAAAATGCTGTGCTGACGTACCTTGCAAACGGGTCTTGTTTGACGATGTTCTTCCTCTTCCGAATCCGTCGGATTGTCGTCAGTAGGCCAGCGGCGCTTCACGGCACGGCCTTTTCCAGGTGTCACCGGGGTCATGCCTGCAAAAGAAACAAGCGTCAAGTCACAACACTGTACACCTCCGAAATGAACTTTTCTTTTTTTGCAAAGGCAGAAGTGTAATGTCCGTGCGCTTTTTGTTTGTTTAATCGCCGTTTTTTACGAAAATTTCGATTTTTGAAAAGCATTTCAAAGTCTTTAGATAGTTTTTCTATTTTACAAAAAAAAATGAAAATACTTCCTGCCAAGTTCCGATAATGCGAAAAAAACACTAAAGAAACAGTCAAAACGCCTCAATTTAAAAAGCAATTCAACAAAATGGCGGCACGAATAGAACACTTCAATTAGAGGGCCAAAACCGGTGTTAAAACTGTCAATTCTCAACCTCGATATTCAAGCGGATCAACCACAGAACATTCGCTGATGAGCAACGGCTTTCGAAAACAACAATTTATTTGGTTCAACAACGTTTTAAAAGCAAACTGCAAGCAAAGGGCAAAATAACAAATGAGTTCAACGAATTGCATTACAAGTATCGAGATAATAGGTGTTTTCTCTTTTCGTGCGCCATTCTCGACGTGGGCTCTACCATCCGCCATTCTGGATGCGCTCCTTCAGCGCCGTCACTTCTTCCATTAGCATCTTCAGCTGGGCGGCTTGCTAGAAAAAGGAATTAAAATTAACTATAAAAATGTGGATCACCTGGTCGTTCTCCTGCTTCAGACGGCGATTTTCGGCATTCCGCGTTTCCGAGAGGGTCTCCTGTAAAAGAACGTGTTTCTCGAGCCCTGGTGCTCTCTCTCGTTCTCTCGCTCTCTCGCTCTGCCACACTCTCACTCTCTTGCTCTCGGAATTTTTTTACATATTTATTGGTTTCTTTTGCATTACCGGGGGCAAATTTTTTTTGTATTGATCTTGAAAAGCCTAATAAATTGATAGAAAGTGTTTTGTATAATGTTTAAGTACAATAAACCTATATTTTAACTAGGAGAAACTTTCAAATGGTCGAAATTTTGTGAAAACGGGCATTTTTCGTCGAAAAAAATCTTACATCGAAAAAAATCGGGCTTTTTTGTAATTTTGGCTTGGATGCGTAAATTTTTACGTTTGGAAATCGTAAAAAATCATTGGCAAGATAGTAGTGATAAACGTGTTTCCGTTCCACCAGAAAAAGAGAAGAAAAGAAGTAAAAAGCCCGATACCAGGAGTGCCATGTTTGTCTGCATGCGAGCCACGTCAGATTTCGTCTCCCTCATTGCAGCGCGCATTCTGGCCATGTCCGAGGCCATCTTGGCACCTCCCAATTTCACTGTCATCTAAAAAAAGAGGGTTTGTTAATGCCATAAATATCTTACAATGGTCTCCTCGACGCGCTTGTCGATACTGTGGTCAGTGTCGATTTGGGGCACGGGCTCGATGCGTGGTTGTACGACAGCTACTCTGGACGGAGGAGAGAAGGCCGAATTCGCATGGAATGGCGGTGATTCTGATGGAATTGTCAGAACGGCCACCTCGGCTGCCCAGTCCTCCTGGCCTCTTTTGAACTTCTTCTTCTTCTTCTTATCGATTCGTCTCGGCTCTTCGGTTGGATTTTCATCTAAGCGTGATACAGATAGTATAATAGGTTCTTTCGCATTATCGGGGGGAGGGGATTTTTTATCCATCTAGAAAACTGAAAAATTTAATCAAAAATTGAAACTGAAAAACTTAATAGGCAGTAGTAGTTTTTCTAATTAAGTCAATAATTTCTTTCCTTTTTTACGGAAACCCCCCGATAATGCGAAAGATCCGTTTATTATCTAAAGCGAATCACAACGATGATTTCCAGAAACAAATCAGTACCTAGAAGTTCTTCTTTGACATCGATTGGATGAAGGGTAGGCGAGGATGATTGGTCTTTCTCACCTAAACCTCAGAAATTCAATAAATACTTATTAGAAGTACCAATCCGGACATTTTGCTCGTTGTGGTGGCTGGTTGGAGCATGAGCATCAGCATGAGCATCCGCCTCACTTCCCTCGATTACGACATGAAAATCTAAATTTAATTTAATTATGAAATTCTGAAAAACCAACCAAATGAAGAATTTTCGACATCTAGTGGCTCTTGCTTAACTTCACGTCGTGTATCGGCCAAGGTTCGATGAGTCGATTTCTCTTTGGATCGTGGTGGAACAGCGTCTGGCACCACTTCTTGCTTGATCGTACCTAAATATTAAAATCGGGAGATTAATGAAAATTTTCAGGCTAAATACAGGGCCTCCCAAAAAACCAGCCGCAGACTGTTCGAATTTAAGTTTTTACTTTAGTTTTTCGTTTCGGCTTCGCGACTTTTCAACCTTAGCCCCGTCTGCCCCCGATATCCTTGACCTTCCATTACCCGAATTCCTATGACCTTTCTGGTGATTTTCATACATTTTTGACAAATATTTAGAATTTTCTGGAGGTTTTTAAAGACTAGTCCAATCTAAATAGAGTTTTGGACGGTTAGCGGGTGGCGTGGGGGTACGAAATTTTTCCCTCTGATTCTCTACGGCCCTATAAGCAAATATAAACGATTTTAAAAGCAGTTTACGTAGTTTTTAGATATAAAACACGTACAAAAATAATCAGAATTTCGGCATTTTTGATCTTATAGAAAAATTTTCGAGTTATCAAAATTTTTTATAGCTTTCTAGAACTACGGGTAGGTATGGGTGGACAATAAAAAGTGGTTTTTCCCCTGCTAATAATCCCCCCCGCTAACAGTCCAGAGCCAAAGGAACATACCAGCATTTGACGATGCAACTTCTGGATTGGTCTGCACGTTTCGCCGAATGTCGAGACTTTTGATGTCAGGAGCCGGGAGATGAACAATTGGTGGGTCGTCTTCTGGGGTGGAATCTTCTAGATTGCAGTAAAAAAGCCAGGAAAAAAATTCGTACCGTCATCGGATTCATCCTGAATTTTCGATGTCTCCCTTTGGCCTCCAATGTGCTTGGCGATGGCCCTTGCGCGATCAGGAAAGTTGGCTTGGGCTTTTGCTTTGAGGGCATCGTAGTATTCGGCAGTGCTAAAACTCATGCTCAAAGTCAATTCGAGCACGCACCGATTATCGATGATCCGGCCATTTCCTTGATGTTGCTCATTCAGATGCTTTTGCAGGTTCGATTTCAGTTTCGTAGTATAGGTGCAGACTGAAAATCGGTGTCTCCGGAACATTGTAAATACCAGAACACTTCCAGGGTCGGAAGGCGAGGTGCGCTACCGAGTGCGCAACGAGATGCCAAGGCTCAGTTGAATCAATCGAATGTCGGCATTCCTGCAAAAAAATAGTACTAAATATCGAAGCCTGGCTGGCAAATTTTCGGTGAACAGCGTCCCATAAACCAAGTCCAAAAACAATGATGCATCCCTACCTTGCAGACGAGGATTTTTCGACCGTCGTGCGGATTGCCATCTTCTGAAAACTGACAGTCAAGAAGGAAATTAACAAATTCTTACCATGATCAGATGCATCTTGAAATCCCAATGCCTCTTTTTGTCCTCCAATGTATTTAGCGATGGCATTTGATTGAACTGGAAAGTTGGCTTTCATCTTCGCCTCGAGCGCATCGTAGTATTCAGCAGTGCTAAAACTGCTGCTCAAAGACAATCCGCGCATTTACCGATTATCGATGGCCCGGCCGTTTCCTTGATGTTGGGTCTTCAGATGGCTCTTCACAACGAATTTCAGTTTCGCAGTATGGGTACAGACTAAAACTAGGTGTATTCGGAACATTTGAAATACCAGAACACTTCCAGGGTCGGAAGGAGAGGTGTTTCGACGAGTGCAGAGCGAGACGGCTAGGTTCATCGCGCCAGATGGCATAGTTGCAGTTCTAGAAAAAGCATTAAATAGCAGGGCTTCGCAAATAAGTTTTTCGTTGGCCGCGTTCATTATCGCCAATAGCCCGCCAAAAAAAACGATCTAATTACGTACCTTGCAAACGGGTCTTGTTTGACGGTGTCCTTCCTCTTCCGAATCCGTCGGATTGTCGTCAGTAGGCCAGCGGCGCTTCACGGCACGGCCTTTTCCAGGTGTCACCGGGGTCATGCCTGCAAAAGTAACAAGCGTCAATTCACAGCACCGCAGACATGCAACAGCTTTTCGTTTTGCAAAGGCAGAATGAGAAATTACAATTTCAATAGAATCACTTTTATATAAATTTCTAATGTCCGTGCGCTTTTTGTTTTATTCGCCGTTTTTTACGAAAATTTCGATTTTTGAAGTTTTTCACAGTCTTCAGATAGTTTATTTTACAAAAAAAAACATGAAACCACTTCCTATTAACCTCTTAGGCATTTTTAGATTAATACAAAACATCTACCCCCCCGATAATGCGAATGAACCACTAAAAAAGTCAAAACGCTTCAATTTCAAAAAGCAATTCAACAAATGGCGGCGCGAAGAGAATACTTCGATTAGAGGGCCAAAACCGGTGTTAAAACTGTCAATTCTCAGCCTCGATATTCAAGCGGATCAACCACAGAACATTCGCTGATGAGCAACGGTTTTCGAAAACAACAATTTATTTGGTTCAACAACGTTTTAAAAGCAAAGTGCAAGCAAAGTGCAACATAACAAATCATTTCAACAAATTGCATTGCAAATATCGAGATAATAGGTGTTTTCTCTTTTCGTGCGTCATTCTCGGCGTGGCCCTTATCATCCGCCATTCCGGATCCGCTCCTTCAGCGCCGTCATTTCTTCCCTGAGCATCTTCAGCTGGGCGGCTTGCTAGAAAAAGGAATTAAAATTAAATATAAAAATGTGGGTTACCTGGTCGTTCTGCTGCTTCAGACGGCGATTTTCGGCATTCCGCGTTTCCGAGAGGGTCTCCTGAAATGGGATATGTTTCTCGAGCTCTGTTGCTCTCCATCTCTCACTCTTTCGATATTTTAGTAAAATAAAACTGGATTTAAACTAAGAAAAACATTCGAAAAGTCGGATTTTGGGCAAAAAGGTCATTTTTGGTCCAAAAAGAAGCACTTCCCAAAAAACCCCCCCCCCCCGATAATGCGAAAGAACCATTTTATAACTATTTTTAAGAATTTGGCAATATACTAGTTGTAAACGTGTGTCCGTTCCACCAGAAAAAGCAAAGAAGATAGGTATAACGATCCATACCAGGAGTGCCATGTTTGTCTGCATGCGAGCCACGTCAGATTTCGTCTCCCTCATGGCTGCGCGCGTTCTGGCCATATCCGATGAGATCTTCGCACCTCCCAGCTTCATTTTCATCTAAAAAAGAATTAAATTGCAATAAATATCTTACAATGGTCTCTTCGACGCGCTTGTCGATACTGTGGTCAGTGTCGATTTGGGGCACGGGCTCGATGCGTGGTTGTACGACAGCTACTCTTGACGGAGGAGAGAAGGCCGAATTGGCATGGAATGGCGGTGATTCTGATGGAATTGTCAGAACGGCCACCTCGGCTGCCCAGTCCTCCCCGCCTCTTTTCGCCTTCTTCTTCTTCTTCTTATCGATTCGTCTCGGCTCTTCGGTTGGATTTTCATCTAAGCGGAGATACAGATAGTATAATAGGTTCTTTCGCATTATCGGGGGGTGGGGGGGGAGAATTGTTTAAAGTAACCTAGAAATGCCTGGTAAATTAATAGCAAGTATTTTGATAATGTTATTAGTAAAATAAGCTATATTTGGACTAGAAAAATATCTAAAACTTTCAAAAAGACGAAATTTTGGTAGAAAATCGTTTTTTTTTAGTTTTACCAAAATTTCTTTTACGATTAACGATAGTAAAAAAAATGAAACACGTCCGCTATTTCAATTTAAACCCCCCTAATAATGCGAAAGATCCTTTTTCTTTTCAAAACTAATCACAACAATGATTTCCAGAAACAAATCCATTTCCCCAATCAGTACCTAGAAGTTCTTCCTTGACAACGATTGTATGAAGGGTAGGCGAGGATGATTGGTCTTTGTCACCTAAAACTCAGAAATTCAATAAATACTTATTAGAAGTACCATTCCGGACATGTTGCTCGTTTTGGTGGCGGGTTGGAGCATGAGCATCCGCCTCACTTCCCTCGATTACGACATGAAAATCTAAATTTAATTTAATCAGGAAATTAAAAAAATTCTTGTGATAAGTGAATCAATTAATTAACCTTTTCCTAATCTTCCTTTAACCTTAATTAATTAACAATCAATTAACAACCAACCAAATGACGAATTTTCGACATCTAGTGGCTCCTGCTTAACTTCGCGTTGAGTATCGGCCCTCGTTCGACGAGTCGATTTCTCTTTGGATCGTGGTGGAACAGCGTCTGGCACCACTTCTTGCTTCACCGTACCTAAATATTAAAATAGGAAGATGAATGACGATTTTCTGTGGAAATACAGAATACGTCCTAAAAAACCAGCTTCGCGGTTAGGTAAACCCCGTTTGTACCCGTGACATCCTTTACCTTCTTACCTTTTTCCTTACATTACCCCAATTCCTATGACATGTATGAATAATTTTCGACATCTAGTAACTATAACGATACATGATATATAATCAACAGGTAGGGAGATAAATGTAAAAACAAAAAGTGGTTTTTCCCCCCCCGTGCTAAGACCCCCCCCCCTCCCCTGCTAACAGTCCAGAACCACAGAAACATACCAGCATTTGACGACGCAGCTTCTGGACCTTTCTGCACGTATCGCCGAATGTCGGGATTTTTGTCGCCAGTAGTTAGGAGATGAACAATTTGTGTGTTGTCTACTGGAGTGTCATCCTCTACAAAATAGCAATCAAAGGCAGGAAAGTTCGTACCGTCATCCGATCCATCCTGAATTACCAATCCGTGCTTTTGCCCTCCAATTAGCTTGGCGATAGCCTTTGCGCGGCTAGGAAAGTTGGCTTGGGTCTTCGCTTTGAGGGCATCGTAGTATTCGGTAGTGCTAAAACTCATGCTCAAAGTCAATCCGAGCAAGTACCGATTATCGAGGATCCGGCCATTTCCTTGATGTTGCTCATTCAGATGAATTTGCACGTTGCCTTTTCGAGTCGCAGTATAACCGCAAACTGGAAATAGGTGTATTCGGAACATTGGAAATACCAGAACACTTCCAGGGTCGGAAGCAGAGGTGTGTCGACGAGTGCTGAGCCAGATCCCAAGCCTTAGTTGGGTCAATCGACTTTTTGCATTCCTGGAAAAGTATTTCATAAGGGAGTCCCGCTGGTAAATTATCGCCGTCAGAAAACACCTTCGTCCAAATATCAATGATCCTATCACCTACCTTGCAGACGGAGATTTTTCGACCGCCTTGCGGATTGTCGTCTTCTGAAAAATTAGTCGAGAAGGAATTAAAATATTCGTACCATTATCGGAAGCATCTTGAAATCCCAATGCCTCCTTTTGTCCTCCAATGTATTTAGCGATGGCAGTTGAATGAGCCGGAAAGTTGGCTTTGGTCTTCGCCTCGAGCGCATCGTAGTACTCAGCAGTGCTAAAACTCATGCTCAAAGCCAATCCGAGCACGTACCGATTATCGATGACCTGGCCGTTTCCCTGATGTCGCTCGTTCAGATGCTGTTGCAGATCGCCTTTCCGAGCCATAGTAAAGTCGCAAACTGGAAATAGGTGTATTCGGGACAATGGAAATACCAGAACATTTCCAGGGTCGCAAGGAGAGGTGCGTCAGCGAGTGCCGTGCGAGCTCGGAAGGCGCACCGCAGAAGATAGCATTGCTGCACTGCTAAAAAAGCATTAAATAGCAGCGTTGCGCTGATACGTTTTTTGTTAGCCTTGATCAGCATGGAGACGACGATAATAGCCCGCATAAAAACGACGTGATTACGTACAGGGGCGTAGCCAGAAAAAAATTTCGGGGCAGGCCCCAAAAAATTTTTCCAAAAAACTCCCAACATTAACGAGAAAACAACAAAATTTTTGAAAAAAAAGGTTGCATAGCTCTACAAATAGACGTAAAATCGTGAAAAAATAGCGCCGCAGGCAGAAAAATTTTTGAGAAAATAAAAATCATAACCCTTATAAAATTTTCGGGCCCAGGCCGATTTCGGGGCGGGCCCGATATTACGCTACGTCCCTGATTACGTACCTTGCAACCGGGTCTTGTTTGACGGTGTCCTTCCTCTTCCGAATCCGTCGGATTGTCGTCAGTAGGCCAGCGGCGCTTCACGGCACGGCCTTTTCCAGGTGTCACCGGGGTCATGCCTGGAAATGTGACAAGTAACAGCACTCTATATATACAGCCACGAAAGTTTCTTTTTGCAGACAATGAAAAAGGAAAACTTAAATAGAATCACTTTTATATCAATTTCCAATGTCCCTGCGCTCTTTTTTATTGGCTGTTTTTGATCAAAATTTAGACTTTTTGAAAAGCTTTTCTAAGTTTTAGAAGTTATTCTAGTTCGAATGTTTTCTACGAAAAACAATATGAAACTACTGCCTATTAAGCTCCCAGGCATTTTTAGATTAATACAAAACATCTACCCCCCGATAATGCGAAAGAACCACTAAAAAAGTCAAAACGTTTCAATTTCCAAAAGCAATTGAACAAAATGGCGGCACGAATAGAGCACTTCGATTAGAGGGCCAAAACCGGTGTTAAAACTGTCAATTCTCAACCTCGATATTCAAGCGGATCAACCACAGAACATTCGCTGATGAGCAACGGTTTTCGAAAACAACAATTTATTTGGTTCAACAACGTTTTAAAAGCAAAGTGCAAGCAAAGTGCAACATAACAAATCATTTCAACAAATTGCATTGCAAATATCGAGATAATAGGTGTTTTCTCTTTTCGTGCGTCATTCTCGGCGTGGCCCTTATCATCCGCCATTCCGGATCCGCTCCTTCAGCGCCGTCATTTCTTCCCTGAGCATCTTCAGCTGGGCGGCTTGCTAAAAAGAAAAATTAGACGCGAAAAATGTGGGTTACCTGGTCGTTCTGCTGCTTCAGACGGCGATTTTCGGCATTCCGCTTTTCCGAGAGAGTTTCCTGTAACAGAACGTGTTTCTCGAGCCCTGGTGCTCTCCATCTCTCACTCTCTCGATATTTTAGTAAAATAAAACTGGGTTTTAACTAAGAAAAACATTCGAAAAAGTCGGATTTTCGGCAAAAAAATGACTTTTGGTCTAAATCATCTAAATTCTTTGCATTAAAAAACAGTTAAAAAAAAGTGTCTAGAAGCACTTGCACTATTTATATTTGAAGAATTGGACCCCAAAAAAAATTTTGCCTCCCCACCCCCCGATAATGCGAAAGAGCTATTTTTATTTATTTTTAAGAACTTGGCAATATACTAGTGATAAACGTGTGTCCGTTCCAGCAGAAAAAGAGAAGAAAACAATTACAAAAGCCCCATACCAGGAGTGCCATGTGGATTTGCATGCGAACGACGTCAGCTTTCGTCTCCCTCATCGCAGCCCGCATTCTCGCCATGTCCGAGGAGATCTTGGCTCCTCCCAGCTTCGTTGTCATCTAAAAAAGGGAATTGGATTATTGCCATAAATATCTTACAATGGTTTCTTCGACGCGCTTGTCGATGCTGTGGTCAGTGTCGATTTGGGGCACGGGCTCGATGCGTGGTTGTACGACAGCTACTCTTGACGGAGGAGAGAAGGCCGAATTGGCATGGAATGGCGGTGATTCTGATGGAATTGTCAGAACGGCCACCTCGGCTGCCCAGTCCTCCTCGCCTCTTTTCACCTTCTTCTTCTTCTTATCCATTCGTCTCGGCTCTTCGGTTGGATTTCCATCTAAGCGGAGATTGATAGTAGGTTCTTTCGCGTTATCGGGGGGATTAATTTTTTGTATTGATCTAGAAATGCCTGTAATTTAATTCAAAGTATTTACATATTTTAACTAGAAAAACTGTCTAAAACCTTAAAGGAATTCTCGAAAAGGCGAAAATTTTGGTCAAAAACGACCCATTTTCCCCGAAAAATCTATACTTCTTGTATTTTTTTAATTAAATTTTGTTAAGGTTGTACGTTTAGGGATAGAAAAAACAGTTTAGAAACACGCCCGCTATTTATATTTAAAAAGTTTTTAGGAAAAAATTTCTTTCTTTGTTTTACGGAAACCCCCCCCCCCCCCCCTCCCGATAATGCGAAAGATCCGTTTTTTACCTAAAGCGAATCACAACGTTGATTTCCAGAAACAAATCAGTACCTAGAAGTTCTTGTTTGACAACGATTGGATGAAGGGTAGGCGAGGATGATTGGTCTTTGTCACCTAAATCTCAGAAATTCAATAAATACTTATTAGAAATACCATTCCGGACGTCTTGCTCGTTGTGGTGGCGGGTTGGAGCATGAGCATGAACATCCGCCTCACTTCCCTCGATTACGACATGAAAATCTAAATTTAATTTAATTAGGAAATTCTAGAAAAATTGCAATAAGTTAATCACTTCAAAACGCACCAAATGACGAATTTTCGACATCCAGTGGCTCTTGCTTAACTTCGCGTTGAGTATCGGCCATCGTTCGATGAGTCGATTTCTCTTTGGATCGTGGTGGAACAGCGTCTGGCACCACTTCTTGCATGACCGGACCTAAATATGAAAACCGGGAGATTAATGAGGATTTTAGGTTCTTATGCATTATCGGGGGGACAAAATTTTTTTGCATCAACCTAAAATAGCTAGTAACTTAGTCGAAAGTATTTCTATCGTTTTCAGTAAAATAACACTGTATTTTAACTAGAAAAACTGTCCAAAAACAAAATTTTTCTTAAAAAGTCGAAACTTGGTCAAAAACGGCCAGTTTCGTCAAAAAATCGATTTTTTTTTGTTGTATTTTTTTGAGAAATTTGTAAAAAGGATTATATTTAGGAATAACAGAAAACAGCCTAGAAACACTTCCCGCTATTTATATTTAAAAATTGGTCCCTAAGAAAAAATGAAAAGCGCCATTGTTGAGAAAGGAAAATACCAGGATTTGACGGCGCAGCTTGTGAACTTGTCTGCACGTTTTGCGGAATATCGAGACTTTTGTTTTCAGGAGCTGGCAGATGAATAATTGGTGGGTTGTCTTCTGAAGTGTCATCTTCTCAAAAATCGCAATCAAAAGGCTTGGAAAACATTCTTACCGTCATCGGATCCATCCTGAATTCCTATTACGTTCTTTTGACGTCCAATGAACTTCGCGATAGCCCTTGCGCGATCAGGAAAGTTGGCCTGCGTCTTTGCTTTGAGGGCATCGTAGTACTCAGCAGTGCTAAAACTCATGCTCAAAATCAGCCCGAGCACGTACCGATTATCGATGACTCGTCCATTTCCTTGATGGTGCGCGTTCAGATGCTGTTGCACGTTGCCTTTTCGAGTCGCAGTATAGGCGCAAACTGGAAATAGGTGTATTCGGAACATTGGAAATACCAGAAAACTTCCAGGGTCGGAAGGCGAGGTGCACCACCGAGTGCTGAGCCAGAAGCGGAGCACTAGTTGAGAGAATCGAATTTTTGCATTCCTGAAAGAATAGTATTAACAGGCCGTTTGCAAGAGACCCCAACAAGGCTTGGCAGTTTCTCGACCCCTATTTTTTGATGCCATCTGATAGAGCATAGTCGAATTAGAGGCATCGCAGTCCATGGGTTTTTTGTTTAAATCAGCGTTCTCCTGGTTAAACAGGGCGTTAAAGTTGCCCACGTCGAAAATTGATCTCCACGTCTACTTGCCAGAATTGGCAGAAAATTTTTGACTAGCCGAAAATCAGCAGAACCTAATAAAAGCGCATATTCATAGTTTTTGCGGAGTTTCGAATTAACGGCGAGTCGGCCGCCACCTAAAATTGGGCTCGAAAGATGCGCAAAATTTTTTGCATCGACTGATGTATCATTTAGGTGACGGCGGCCAGGACTCGGTTTCCTAAAAAAAAGCTTTTTGTAGCTGAAAAATGGGCTACCGCGCGCCAGTAAATTGCCAATGAACGGTCTTCATAAACCACATTCGTCCAAAAATAAATGATGCATCCCCTACCCTGCAGACGGCGATTTTTCGACCGTCTTGCGGATTGCCATCTTCTGAAAAAATGACAGTCAAGGAAAAAAATTAAAATAATCAAACCATGATCTGACGCATCTTGACATCCCAATGCCTCTTTTTGTCCTCCAATGTATTTAGCGACAGCCCTTGAGTGAGCCGGGAAGCTGGCTTTCGTCTTCGCCTCGAGCTCATCGTAGTATTCGGCAGTGCTAAAACCCATGCTCAAAGTCAAACCGAGCACGTACCGATTATCGATGACCCGACCATTTCCTTGATGTTGCTCATTCAGATGCTGTTGCAGATCGCGTTTCCGAGCCATAGTACAGGCGCAGACTGGAAATAGGTGTATTCGGAACATTGGAAATACCAGAACACTTCCAGGGTCGAAAGGAAAGGTGCGCCACCGAGTGCCGAGCGAGATGGCAAGGCTCATCGCAGTAGATAGCATTGTTGCACTGCTAGAAAAAGCATTAAAAGCAGGGTTTCGCTGATAAATTGTCCCTTAGCCGCGCTTATTATTCGCCCGCATGAAAACGATGTAATTACGTACCTTGCAAACGGGTCTTGTTTGACGGTGTTCTTCCTCTTCCGAATCCGTCGGATTGTCGTCAGTAGGCCAGCGGCGCTTCACGGCACGGCCTTTTCCAGGTGTCACCGGGGTCATGCCTGCAAAAGCAACAAGCGTCTAGTCACAGCCTTTCTTTTCTTTTCTTGGGGAAAAGTCAAAACGTTTCAATTTCAAAAGTAATTCAACAAAATGGCTGCACGAATATAACACTTCAATTAGAGGGCCAAAACCGGTGTTAAAACTGTCAATTCTCAGCCTCGATATTCAAGCGGATCAACCACAGAACATTCGCTGATGAGCAACGGTTTTCGAAAACAACAATTTATTTGGCTTAACAACGTTTTAAAAGCAAAGTGCAACATAACAAATGAGTTCAACAAATTGCATTAGAAATATCGAGATAATAGGTGTTTTCTCTTTTCGTGCGCCATTCTCGGCGTGGCCCTTATCATCAGCCATTGCGAATACGCTCCTTCATCGCCGTCACTTCTTCCAGCAGCATTTTCAGCTGGGCGGCTTGCTAGAAAAAGAAATTAAAATTAAATACAAAAATGAGGGTTACCTGGTGGTTCTGCTGCTTCAGACGGCGATTTTCGGCATTCCGCTTTTCCGAGAGGGTCTCCTGTAAAAGAACGTGTTTCTCGAGCCCTGGTGCTCTCTCGTTCTCTCGCTATCTCACTCTGCCACTCTCTCACTCTCTTGCTCTCGGAAATTTTTTACATATTTATTGGTTTCTTTTGCATTACCGGGGGGGGCGAATGTTTTGTATTGATCTTGAAAAGCCTAGTAAATTGATAGAAAGTGTTTTGTATAATGTTTACGTAAAATAAACCTAGATTTTAACTAGGAGAAACTTTCAAATGGCCGAAATTTTTTCAAAACGGGCATTTTTCGTCGAAAAAACCTTGCATCGAAAAAATCGGGCCTTTTTGTAATTTTTGCCTGGATGCGTAAAATTTTACGTTTGGAAATCGTAAAAAAATCATTGGCAAGATAGTAGTGATAAACGTGTTTCCGTTCCACCATAAAAAGAGAAGAAAACAATTACAAAAGCCGCATACCAGGAGTGCCATGTTTGTCTGCATGCGAGTGACGTCAGCTTTCGTCTCCCTCATGGCAGCGCGCATTCTCGCCATATCCGCACCGATCTTCGCACCTCCCAGCTTCATTTTCATCTAAAAAAAGAGCGTTTGTTAATGCCATAAATATCTTACAATGGTCTCCTCGAAGCGCTTGTCGATGCTGTGGTCAGTGTCGATTTGGGGCACGGGCTCGATGCGTGGTTGTACGACAGCTACTCTGGACGGAGGAGAGAAGGCCGAATTGACATGGAATGGCGGTGATTCTGATGGAATTGTCAGAACGGCCACCTCGGCTGCCCAGTCCTCCACGCCTCTTTTCATCTTCTTCTTCTTCTTATCGAGTCGTCTCGGCTCTTCGGTTGGATTTTCATCTAAGCGGAGATACAGATAGTATAATAGGTTCTTTCGCGTTATCGGGGGGGGGAGACATTTTTTATAAATTTAGAAACGCTTAGTAACTTAATAGGAAGTATTTTCATAATGTTTTTAGTAAAATAAAGTCATATTTTAATTAGAAAAACTGTCTAAAACCCTTGAAATTTTTTCAAAAAGTCTAAATTTTGGTCAACAACGGCCATTTTTGGTCGAAAAAAAATCGAAATACGTTTAGTAATAGTAGATACAGTTCAGGAACACTTCCACTATTTGTATTTAGGAAAAAATGCGAATACGAAAGGACCGGGAATTTCCTTGGTCGATTTTCGATTCTCGCTCCTTCTTTCAAATTTTTTTGGGGCCTGTACAGGATGAAAAGCGCAAACTGTTGAGAAAGCACCATACCAGTACTAGTGGATACAGCTTCCGGACTCGTCTGCACGTTTCGCCGAATGTCGAGACTTTTGTCGCCAGGAGCTGGGAGATGAACAATTGGTGGGTTGTCTTCTGGAGTGTCATCTTCTAAAAAAAATCGTAATCAAAGAGCCAGAACATTCTTACCGTCATCGGATCCAGCTTGAATTCCCACTCCGTGCTTTGGCCTCCAATTAGCTTGGCGATAGCCTTTGCGCGGCTAGGAAAGTTGGCCTGCGTCATTGCTTTGAGGGCATCGTAGTATTCAGCAGCGCTAAAACTCATGCTCAAAGTCAATCCGAGCACGTACCGATTATCAATGATCCGGCCATTTCCTTGATGTTGCACTTTTAAATGCTGCTGCAGGTTGCTTTTGAGAAACTGTAAATAGGTGTATTCGGCAAATTTGAAATACCAGAACACTGCCAGGGTCGGTAGGCGATGTGTGTCGAGGAGTGCTCAGCCAGATACCGAGTCTGAGTTGAGACAATCGAACTTCTGCATTCCTGAAAAAAATAGTATTAAATATCAGCCAGCCCGGTAAATTTCCCAGGAACCGCTTCCGGAAACGACATCCGGCCAAAAAAATGTTGCACCGCCGCCTACCTTGCAGACGGAGATTTTTCGACCGTCCTGCGGATTGTCATCTTCTGGAAATTGGCAGTCAAGGAGGAATTAAAATTCTCATGCCATGATCGGATGCATCTTGAAATCCGAATGCCTCTTTTTTGTCCTCCAATGTATTTAGCGATGGCATTTGATTGAGCCGGAAAGTTGGCTTTCATCTTTGCCTCGAGCGCATCGAAGTACTCGGCAGTGCTAAACCTCATGCTCAAAGTCAATCGGAGCGATTTCCGATGGCACTCCCGAAAATGGGAATCCCGAAAATTGGTTTCCCGAAACTCGGAGCCCCGAAAATCTGAGGCCCGAAAAATCTAAGTCCCGAAAATCCCCGCAGAGATTTGGGTTCTTATGGGAGGCGGCAGCCTAAAAACCAGCAGCCAAATTTTCCGGATTCAGATGTTCGGGACTCCGATTTTTCGGGAATCGGATTTTCGGAAGTATAAGCAAACCCCCATCGGAGCACGTACCGATTATCGATGACCCGGCCGTTTCCTTGATGTCGGGTCTTCAGATGCTCTTGCAGGTTGCTTTTCCGATTCATAGTACAGGCGCAAACTGGAAATAGGTGTATTCGGAACATTAGAAATACCAGAACAATTCCAGGGTAGGAAGGAGAGGTGCGCCACCGAGTGCAGAGCCAGATGGCAGGGGGGCATTGCATATGATTGCATTGCAGCACTGCTAGAAAAAGCATTAAATAGCGGGGTTTCGCTGAGAAATTTGCCGTGAATCTTGGCCAGAATTAAAGACGACAATATCAGCCCACATAAAAACGTTGTGATTACGTACCTTGCAAACGGCTGTTGTTTGACGGTGTTCTTCCTCTTCCGAATCCGTTGGATTGTCGTCAGTAGGCCAGCGGCGCTTCACGGCACGGCCTTTTCCAGGTGTCACCGGGGTCATGCCTGAAAATGTAACAAGTAACAGCACTCTATATAAACAGCCACGAAAGTTTTCTTTTTGCAGACAATGAAAAAGGAAAACTTAAATAGAAACACTTAAACATGAATTTCTAATGTCCGTGCGCTCTTTTTTATTGGCCGTTTTTTGAGCAAAATTTCGATTTTTCTAAGTTTTTCAAAGTCTTTAGATAGTTCTTTTATTTTACAAAAAAACAAGCTGAAACCACTTCCTATTAAGCTCCTAGGCATTTTTAGATTAATACAAAACATCTACCCCCCCCCCCGATAATGCGAAAGAACCACTAAAAAAAGACAAAACGGTTCAATTTCAAAAAGTAATTCAACAAAATGGCGGCACGAATAGAACACTTCAATTAGAGGGACAAAACTGGTGTTAAAACTGTCAATTCTCAGCCTCGATATTCAAGCGGATCAACCACAGAACATTCGCTGATGAGCAACGGTTTTCGAAAACAACAATTTATTTGGTTCAACAACGTTTTATAAGCAAACTGCAAGCAAAATGCAAAATAACAAATCATTTCAACAAATTGCATTGCAAATATCGAGATAATAGGTGTTTTCTCTTTTCGTGCGCCATCCTCGGCGTGGGCTCTGCCATCAGCCATTGCGGATGCGCTCCCTCAGCGCCGTCATTTCTTCCCTGAGCATCTTCAGCTGGGCGGCTTGCTAAAAAGAAAAATTAGACGCGAAAAATGTGGGTTACCTGATCGTTCTGCTGCTTCAGACGGCGATTTTCGGCATTCCGCGTTTCCGAGAGGGTCTCCTGAAATGGAAGGTGTTTCTCGAGCTCTGTTGCTCTCCATCTCTCACTCTCTCGATATTTTAGTAAAATAAAACTGGATTTTAACTTAGAAAACCATTCAAAAAAATCGAGATTTTGGTCAAAAAACGGCCATTTTATAATTTAAACATAACCAGAGAAGAAAACAATACCAGGAGTGCGATGTTGATTTGCAGGCGAGCCACGTCAGATTTCGTCTCCCTCATGGCTGCGCGCATTCTGGCCATATCCGAGGAAATCTTCGCACCTCCCAGCTCCATTGTCATCTAAAAAAGATATTTTGATTATTGCCATAAATATCTTACAATGGTCTTTTCGACGCGCTTGTCGATGCTGTGGTCAGTGTCGATTTGGGGCACGGGCTCGATGCGTGGTTGTACGACAGCTACTCTTGACGGAGGAGAGAAGGCCGAATTGGCATGGAATGGCGGTGATTCTGATGGAATTGTCAGAACGGCCACCTCGGCTGCCCAGTCCTCCTGGCCTCTTTTCATCTTCTTCTTCTTCTTATCGAGTCGTCTCGGCTCTTCGGTTGGATTTTCATCTAAGTGGAGATTAATAGAATAATAGGTTCTTTCGTATTATCGGGGGGTGGGGAGAAATTTTTTTGTGTTGAGCTAGAAACCTAGTAACTAAATATGAAGTATTCTCATAATGTTTTTACGAAAACAAAACTCAATTGCCACCAGAAAATCTATCTAAAAACTTTGAAATTGTCAAAAAGGTGACATTTTTTGGTCGAAAAATCGATTTTTATGCATTTTTAACAAAACCAACAAAGTTTTTACGATTAGGGATAGTGAAAAAGCCACACGTCCACTCTTTGTATTTAAATTTCTCCTCCCCCCCCCCCCCCCGATAATGCGAAAGATCCGTTTTCCATCTAAAGCGAATGACAACGATGCTTTCCAGAAACAAATCAGTACCTAGAAGTTCTTCTTTGACAACGATTGGATGAAGGGTAGGCGAGGATGATTGGTCTTTGTCACCTAAACCTCAGAAATTCAATAAATACTTATGAGAATTACCATTCCGGATATTTTGCACGTTGTGGTGGCGGGTTGGAGCATGAGTATCAGCATGAGCATCCGCCTCACCTCCGTCCATTACGACATGAAAATCTAAATTTAACTTAAACATGACATTCTAAAAACTCACCAAATGAAGAATTTTCGACATCTAGTGGCTCTTGTTTAACTTCGCGTGGAGTATCGGCCATCGTTCGATGAGTCGATTTCTCTTTGGATCGTCGTGGAACAGCGTCTGGCATCACTTCTTGCTTCAGCGTATCTAAATATTAAAATCGGGAGATTAATGAAGATTTTCGGTTCTTCAGTCTTGGCCAAAAACGGCCATTTTGGTCGAAAAATCGATATTTTTGTTAGAAACAAGTCCGCTATTTATATTTAAAAATTGGTTCCTAGGAAAAAATGAAAAGCGTCATTGTTGAGAAAGGAAAATACCAGCATTTGACGACGCGGCTTCCGGACTTGTCTGCGCGTTTCGCCGAACGTCGAGACTTTGGCCGCCAGGAGCTGGGAGATGAACAATTGGTGGGTTGTCTTCTGGAGTGTCATCCTCTGAAAAATCGCAATTGAAATACAGGAAAACGTTCGTACCGTCATCGGATCCATCCTGAATTGCCAATCCGTACTTTTGGCCTCCAATTAGCTTGGCGATAGCCTTTGCGCGGCTAGGAAAGTTAGCTTGCGCCTTTGCTTTGAGGGCATCGTAGTATTGAGCAGTGCTAAAACTCATGCTCAAAGACAATCCGAGCACGTACCGATTATCGATGACCCGGCCATTTCCTTGATGGTGCGCGTTCAGATGCTGTTGCAGATCGCCTTTCCGAGCCATAGTGAAGTCGCAAACTGAAAATAGGTGTATTCGGAAGATTGGAAATACCAGAACACTTCCAGGGTCGGAAGGTGAGGTGCACCACCGAGTGCAGAGCCAGATTCCAAGTCCTAGTTGCAGCAATCGAATGTCGGCATTCCTGCAAAAAAATAGTACTAAATATCGAAGCCTGGCTGACAAATTTTCGGTGAACAGCGTTCCATAAACCAAGTCCAAAAACAATGATGCATCCCCTACCTTGCAGACGAGGATTTTTCGACCGTCGTGCGGATTGACATCTTCTGAAAAATGACAATCGAGAAGGGATTAAAATATTCGTACCATGATCAGATGCATCTTGAAATCCGAATGCCTCCTTCAGACCTCCAATGTATCTAGCGATGGCATTCGAGTGACACGGAAAGTTGGCTTTCGTCTTCGCCTCGAGCGCATCGTAGTATTCAGCAGTGCTAAACCCCATGCTCAAAGACAATCCAAGCACGTACCGGTTATCGAGAACCCGGCCGTTTCCTTGATGTCGCTCGTTCAGATGCTGTTGCAGGTTGCTTTTCCGATTCTTAGTACAGGCGCAAACTGTAAATAGGTGTATTCAGAACATTGTAAATACCAGAACACTTCCAGGGTCGGAAGGAGAGGTGCCTCGACGAGTGCCGTGCGAGCCCGGAAGGCGCATCGCAGTAGATAGCCTTATTGCACTGCTAGAAAAAGCATTAAATAGCAGGGTTTCGCTGAGAAGTTTTTCGTTATCTATTAGAAAGTACCATATTAGCCCGCATAAAAACGATGTAATTACGCACCTTACAAACGGGTGTTGTTTGACGGTGTTCTTCCTCTTCCGAATCCGTCGGATTGTCGTCAGTAGGCCAGCGGCGCTTCACGGCACGGCCTTTTCCAGGTGTCGGGGTCATGCCTGCAAAAGTAACAAGCATAAATTAGCAGCACAGCACAGCCAACGAACTTTCTTTTTTTCAAAGGCAGAATGAGAAAGCAAAGTTTTTTGGTTTTAATATGGCTAACAAATTTAACACTCGGCTGTGGAAGGGGTTGACCCTATGACTACGCATTAACGTAATCTGTATAGAACGAATTTCTGATTTTTTTGCGATCAAAAATAACCGAAACTTCTACCCTTTCAAAAACTTGTCACTTTTTTTCGCAAGTTTTTCTACTCTAACTATAGTGAAAGCTTATCCAAAACAGCATAGTAACATTTTTTATAGGAAGTGAGAACTTCGTTTTGAGCCACCCGTATGCTCTTAAAAAATTTTGGCCAACCGTAGGCTAAAGTTGGTTTTTTTTGTTAGAGGCTTCTTTCATCTCACAAATGCAACCAAACCAGCGTTGAAAACAACAAATTTCTAAGTTTTTATTTACCTCCAGCCCCGCGTTTACCGAAATGACAGCAGTTACCATCGGAAAAACGTCTCGCCATTCCATTCCAAAACCTCTCAATAAATTGCGGCGGATCCACGAGTTCTGAGCACGAGCAACCAAATAAAGCTTTTAACGATTTATCGGAGGCCAGGAGCGCGGCCAAAAAAAAAACCGACAAACAAGCCAACGAACAGATTCTGTAATAAAACGAAAGAAAAGCAGGCGAACTCCCCGACGGGGGAGCACGATGCGGAACAATTCAACGGTTCGGACAATAAAATGCGAGAGAGCAAAGAGCAGAAAGCGACGAGGAGGCACATTTCAACAACGAGAGGGCAAATAAAATACGAGTATTTCAGCGCAAATGTGGCGGCACGTATTTGGGCTTGGTGGGAGCGGCGGCGGGCTTCGTTTCTTCAGGCGTGGCTTCGGCCTTCTTTTCCGGCTTGGCGTCAACTTGGGCGGGAGGGGCGCTGGGCTTCGAGTCGACGGCCGGGCCGGGGCGTGGAGCGCTGGGCGTCGGCGTGCGCGTCATGGCGCGGGCGGCGGCGATGGCGTCTTCCTAAAAGCGAGGGATCAGTAAGTGAGAAACCGGTGCTTTGGCATTAGCGGGGGAAAGCAGTAGAACTTTTCCTACCAGCAGAGAAAAGCCTAGTAACGTAACAGTGAGTTATTTCACGTTTAACTAGATTTCAAGTGGAAAAACCAAAAAAAAAACTTGGATAAATTCTTTAAGTCGAAATCTTGTCAGAAAAGGGGCATCGAAACATTGATATATCGTATTTTTTACCTAAAATTTCTAAAGTTTTGATGTTTAGACAAAAATCAGTTTATAAATACGTTGCCTTTTATACCAGAAAAATTGGACGCTCAGAACAAAGTTGGTGCCCCCGATGATGCGAAAGATCCGACAAAACAATACAAAACTTTTAAAAAATTGTTTTTGAGTCGAAAAACTATAATTTTTTGGTTTTTATGACGATTTGTAACGTTTTTACGCTTTTATTAGTCATCGTAGAAAAAAATAACCTTTTCAGCCCGGCGGGTAGCGGCAAAATCGGCGTCATCATCGCCTCGCCTGTTCGGCGGCACGTATCTTCCGCCAGAGGCCGGCGGATGCTCCACGGAAGTCCTAGAAAATGGGAAATTTTGCCAAACAGAAAAATCTTACCACGGGTTCTTCTTGTCGTCCTTGTGTTGCTTCTCCATCTCGACGGCGGCGCCGATTGTCGGGAACATTTCCTGGAAAAAAAGTGAAGATAGTGAAATACATTGATACCTGATTGGTGAGGTCGATGTTGGCACGGGGCGCGCGGTAGACCTTCGGCCGGTAGGCGCCGCCGGTGGCCGGCTTGGCGACGATTGGCGCCGAGGACTCGTCATCGGTCTGCCCGTCTTCTTTCTAAAAGCAAAATATGAGTATTAAAGCGCACGTTCAGGGAGGGCCCGTGTACTCGTCCCAACGTGTACACCCTATGGACGGAGGGACCGCGCGCACTGCCTGCCCGTGCTGTGACAGGCCATTCCGCTCCTTTGCGGGGTGGGGCGCCCCTCGCCCCCTCGCCAGGTTGTAGCTGCGGCTGACTGGTATCCATCCGCGCCTCCCGAGCGGGGGGCCCGGGTTCGACCCCCGGCCGCGGCAAAAGCCTTTGCTTTTTTCCAAAAAAACGTCCCTGAACGTGCCCTTTAATAATGGAAAAGTAGAACACGGGGCGCTAGTGTGTTAGCGGGGGACAATTTTCTAACGGGGGAGCTAGGCAATTTTTTGCGATGGCATTCTTCGGCGAAAAATGAATTTAAACCATTTTCCTTGCATTTTACAACGTTTTTTTATTTAAAACAGCTTAGCTAAAATTACAACTGTTTTGAAAATTAGGAGTTTTGCGCGAAAACATGAAAAATGGCCTAAACTCCCCAAAATTCCGGTTTTCGGATGTAATAATAAGCTTTTTATACTGTTTTAGTAGTCCTAGACTAGCAAAAAGACGAAAACATACATTTTTTTTTATTACTAAGCAGGTATCTGCTCATATAGAAAATAGCTCCTTTCTCCCCCGCCAGCATGGAAGCGCCGAAAGTGGCCAAAAAACGTTACCTTATCGAACCAGCCCTTGTGTTGCACCTCGACGACGTTTTCTTGCGCGTTTTCGCTCACTTCCTCCTTCTCGCTGATCTCGGCGCCCATGTCTTTGATGCCAAGGCCCTCGAGTCTAAAAAAGAATTGAGACCGATAAAAAATATTTACCGTCCACAGTCATCCTCAAATTCGTCGATCCACTCGGTGTCAACGCCGGGTCGCAGCGGCGGCGCATCAACGTTTGGGCGCGAGTCTTCAACCTCAGCGAAAGCTTCGAATTCCTGAAGCAAAAAGAAAAATATTACGAGAAACTTCAAGCATACCGCCTTGTTGGCGTGGCGGACGAGCACCTCGGCGACGGCGTCTATCGAGACGACCTTCGGCTTCTTCTGCTTGTCCTTGCGCTTGGCGAACAGGGCCGACACCTCCGACATGTTGATCAATCCCTCAGGCTGGGCTGCGCGAGCGCCTGCGTGGCACGGGGAGGAGCTGTTGATTCCTGAAAAAGGCATTGAAAACGCAAAGCAGATGGGAAAGAAACCGGAAAACGACAAAATTTGCAGGAATTAAAGTTGAAAGGAGCCGTGAACGTTTCGGAAGCTTCCTTTTGGTCCCTATCTTTTCAAAATCGGTTTCTAAGGATAAACATGAATTTTTCGGACATAAATTTCGATGCGAAAGGCGTTTTGAGCATCTGTCTACCAATTCCGACCCCGAAAATGGTTTTTTTTCGGAGCGGGGCGCAAAGTAAAATCAAGCCCGTCAGCAAAGCCGGTTTTCAGGAGCCGTTTTGGAAGCTTAAACGGTTAATTCAGATAAGACGCTACCGGAATGGGCCAATAACTCGGTGATAGTCGCGAATTTTGAGCAAAACGAAACGGAAAAAGACAACAAGTTGAAGAAAATCGGTAGGATTGCGAAAAATCGAAAACCGAAAATCCAGCGCGCACCAGCTCCTTCACACGCCTATGGACGCCTTCGTGCGGTGGAGCGTAACGGAACGTAGTGAAATCGTAAAAAAAATTAATTTTTCGTTCCTTATTGTTTCGAAAGTCTGTTCATGAATTTTTGATCGTTTTTACGTTAAACCAGTCGATAACAGCCGCTTCGCGGCTGCTATCGACCTGACCCTCAGGGGGGCACTACAGGGTGCTTCCCATTTTCCCGCTGTTTCCCCATTGGCGCGAATACCCTTCGAAATATGCCTACGGCCATGTTCAGAACCAAATAGCCTGTCCCTCCTCAGAATGCCCCCTGAAAGAAACTCCACATCCTTAGTTGATCCTCAACAAAAATAGAAGTGAAGCGTAATGGTCAGAACACCCCCTGGAAGCAAATGTATCACCCTTCTTCAAGAATAAAAAACAGAAGAACCTGGTAATGGCTAGAATACCCTTTAAAAGAAAGTTAAGTCTCTTCTTTAATAATAAAAACATCTAAGGAAACGCGTAATTGGCTAGAATACTCTTTGAACAAAGTTATTCCCCCTTCTTTGATACTAAAAAAACATCTAGGAAACGCGTAATGGCTAGAATACCCCTTGAAAGAAAGTTATTCTCCTTCTTTGATACTAAAAAACATCTAGGAAACCGCGTAATGGCTAGAATACCCTTGAAAGAAGGTTATTCCCCCTTCTTTGATACTAAAAAAACATCTAGGGAAAAGCGTAATGGCTAGAATACCCTTGAAAGAAAGTCATTCCCTTCTTTGATACTAAAAAAACATCTAGGAAACGCGTAATGGCTAGGAATACCCTTGAAAAGAAAGTTATTTCCCCTTAGATACTAAAAACATCTAAGAAACGCGTAATGGCTAGAACACCCTTGAAAGAAAGTTATTCCCCTTCCTGATACTAAAAAACATCTAGGAAAACGCGTAATGGCTAGAATACCCTTGAAAGAAGGTTATTCCCCCTTCTTTGATACTAAAAAAACATCTAGGAAACGCGTAATGGCTAGAATACCCTTGAAAAAAAGTTATTCCCCCTTCCTTGATACTAAAAAAACATCTAGGAAACGCGTAATAGCTAGAATACCCTTGAAAGAAAGTTATTTCCCCTTCTTAGATACTAAAAACATCTAAGAAACGCGTAATGGCTAGAACACCCTTGAAAGAAAGTTGTTTCCCTTTTTTAATTTTTTAATACTAAATAAATCAATAAAAACCGTTGCGAAACAATTATTCTTTTGTTTGGGGATTTCTGCTACCATTAATGCGCGAACGGCCCCCTCTCCCCGGGACATGCCCTGGGGGCACGTTGAATTCCTGGACGGACGGGCGCACGGACATTAGAAATTTATATATAGTAGATTTTCATCGGTTATTTTGATTTTAATATTTTAATAATAGTTGTGAATCTATCGGCAATCGGCAAGTAATCGTATTTTTGGCCGGGAACAGTTTTGTTCTCGATTTAGCTTGTTTTTTTGACGCTATATTGTTGAGTTTCATTTCGATGACTGATTAAAGGGGATTCTATACAACTTTCCAGTGCTTTAATGGTGTTTTAGTGACTTTTACAGGCTCTTTCCGGGTGAAACGCGTTTGCTGTATTTTTGGTGTTTTTTTAGAGATGCAATGCGTTATAACGCCAAATTTCGAAACGCTCTTTATTTTCTTGAAAAATTCGGAGACTACAAGGGAAACGAGAAACGAAAAGAAAAATGTATCCACTCGAAATTGATCGTGATCACAATGGAATGCACATGACGACACAAAACACGAGAAAAAGCAGACACAGCCATGGGGGGATAAGTTTTTAGTTTTAAAACGTTTTAAATTCTTCAGGAAACGTTTTAAAAACTCGAAAACGTGGAAAACTAGTTACAAAATTGGTTTGGACGTTAAAAATATGGATTTACGAGGGTTAGAAAGTTAAAAATAGTTTAAAAATAAGTGGGCAATGCGGGGGCTGTAAAACTGAAAAAACGTCTATTTTTGATACGTTTGGGTGTTTTCCGGAACACAAATTACAACCGTGTGACGGGGGTGTGTTTTTGAGGGTACAACCAGTTGGGAGGGCGGATTTCAGTTTAGAGAAAACGGGGGAGCTTTTGCATTATCGGGGGGCTTCCTAGTGTCTTTTTTAACCGTTTTTAGTTTTTAAAGGTAAAAATTCACAAATTTCGATTAGAAAAACTACAAAAACACGGATTTTTCACCGGAATTTCGAATTTTTCAATGATAAATAGATTTTTTTCGACCAATCTTGCTTATATAAAATTCGAAAGTGTTTCTAAACGGTCTTTATTATTTCCTTACGTTCTTTTTTTCACAAAATACAAAAATTTCGAATTTGACGAGTTTTTTTGAGTTTTTAGGTAAATTTTCACTTGAAATATAGCTAAATTTTGTAAAAATTCTTTTAGAATACCTGGATTTTTAGAAAAATCGTTCTCCCCCACCGATAATGCACAAGAACCGCAAATTGGGTACATAGCCGGGGGGTAAAGCTGCGAACGCAAAAGAATCGGTTGTCTCTGCAAAAAGGAGAAAAAAGGAGATTCGCGAAGAATTGGGCAAATACGGTACATTGCTTCAAAGGGGAAAAACACGGCAATTCAAACTACAAGAAAATTACAAAAAACGGGATTTTGACTTCAAATCACAAGACTGTAGTGAAAACAGCGGGGTGAAAAATATAGTTTTTGGTCGGAACGGGCGGGTTTAAACGGTTACGCCATGTATTTGGCATTGGAAGCCTGGCTAGCACGGTCCCTTTAGAAAGCCGGAAATGGCATAGGGGTCTTAGAGATTGGCCAGATCGCCGCGCAGATCGTTGCCGCGGCTGCTTTCGAAGATTGGGATCGGGTTGCTGGTGATCGGCGTGATGCCCGTCGGGCCGTCCAACAGGGTCGGGGCTCCCGCTGAAAAAATGAGTTTTTCAATCCTCAAATGATCTTTGCTAGCCTGCCCCCTCCCTCTCTCTCCAATCCCAAATGATCTCTGCTAGCCTGCCCCTTCCCCCCTCTCTCATCCCAAATGATCTTTGCTTAGCCCGCCCCTCCCCCTCCCTCTCAATCCCAAATGATCTCTGCTAGCCTGCCACCCTCCCCTCTCTCCATCCCAAATGATCTCTGCTAGCCTGCCCCTTCCCCTCTCTCTCATCCCAAATGATCTCTGCTAGCCTGCCCTCCTCCCTCTCTCTCATCCCAAGTGGTCCTCTGCTTAGCCTGCCCTCCTCCCCTTCTCATCCCAAATGATCTCTGCTAGCCTGCCCCCTCCCCCTCTCTCTCATCCCAAATGATCTCTGCTAGCCTGCCCCCTCCCCTCTCTCATCCCAAATGATCTCTGCTAGCCCGCCCTCCCCCTCCCTCTCTCATCCCAAATGATCTCTGCTAGCCTGCCCCCTCCCCCCTCTCTCATCCCAAATGATCTTTGCTAGCCTGCCCCCTCCCTCTCTCTCCAATCCCAAATGATCTCTGCTAGCCTGCCCCCTCCCTCTCTCTCATCCCAAATGATCTCTGCTAGCCTGCCCCCTCCCCTCTCTCCTCATCCCAAATGATCTCTGCTAGCCTGCCCCCTTTCTCTCCCCTCTCTCTCATCCCAAATGATCTCTGCTAGCCTGCCCCCTCCCCTCTCTCTCTCATCCCAAATGATCCTCTGCTAGCCTGCCCCTTCCCCTCTCTCATCCCAAATGATCTCTGCTAGCCTGCCCCTCCCCTCTCTCTCATCCCAAATGATCTCTGCTAGCCTGCCCCCTCCCCCTCTCTCTCATCCCAAATGATCTCTGCTAGCCTGCCCTCCCCCTCTCTCATCCCAATGATCTCTGCTAGCCTGCCCCTTCCCCTCTCTCTCATCCCAAATGATCTCTGCTAGCCTGCCCCCTCCCCCTCTCTCTCATCCCAAATGATCTCTGCTAGCCAGCCCCTTTTTTTCCCCTCTCTCATCCCAAATGATCTCTGCTAGCCTGCTCCTCCCCTCTCTCTCATCCCAAATGATCTCTGCTAGCCTGCCCCTTCCCCCTCTCTCCAATCCCAAATGATCTCTGCTAGGGCTCTGCACCGCCACAGCTGTTCCCTTATTTAGCAAGAGCGCCCGGGTGGTAAAAATTTGTGAAACGTTTTATTTCAAGCTCTCTCCCTCTCTTGCTCCCTCAGCCTAAGCCAAGCCTAAGCCGGCCCTCCCCTCTCCAAAGAACAACTTACGAGTAAAGGAAATATTTCCAAAGAGCGAGTTTGGCTGGTAGGGTGTCGAGCTGAGCCCCTGGGAGGGCGTGACCAACGCGATCGAGCTGGAGCCCTGAAAAAGTGTTTTTTGGTAAATAGTATCTATTTTTGAATAAAATTAGTAAAGAACTAATAGAATTTTCTCAAAAAATCCCTGCTAGGTTGGCAAGTTCAGCCACGCCCTCTACTTACCGTCGACGTGGCGGGCAGCTCGAAAAGCCGATCGGGTCGCTGCAAGTCCTCCGAATTGTTCATGTTCAGCTGGGCGAGCGTCTGCTCCTCCTTCGGGTTCTGCAACCGGGGGTTACGGTAAGTGCCGTTTTTAGATAATTTGTCATCTTTATTATTTTTACTCCTTTCCCTAATGATCTCTGCTAGCCTGCTCGGGCGAATTGTTAAAAAAGGACAAGATTAGGGGAGAACTACGAGTTATTAGACAAAAATAAACAGAAATTTCGATAAAACATCAATTTTTAAAAGATTCTAAAAATTTCCATAGTTATCGTATTTAGGATACAGTAGGCTTAATGCGAACTTGGTAATTTCTCTCGACTACTTACTGGGTTTGAGAACCGAAAACAAACTGAATATTTTGGTAAAACACTTTTTTAATTCGAAAAATTTCTCCGAGCATGGTCTCCCAAATGCAGTATTGTTATCGCTACGGTATTTCTGCTTGTTAAAAATGTTACAAATAAAGTTTAGAAATGTAGAAAAACTATTTAGACATTTTTTTTAAATTAAAAAAATTGTTGAATTTTCATTTTTAGAAAAGTGTTTCATCTCAAGGTTGTCTAAAAACATGAAAACCAAAATGACTACGTAGGCGTGTACGTTTATTCATACTGCATATTTAACGGTATTAAAAAAGTTTTAAGATTATTTTGTCACAGTTTTTCTATTTCAAATTAAATTTTTTAAGGCATTTTTCATTTTTAGAAAAGTGTTTAAGGCCGTGACTATGTGTAAAACATAAAAAGATGGGAGTTAACCTGGGCGCCATGGTTCAGAAAAATCAAAAACTAGATTGCATGGCATTAAAATTACCTTTGCGGTGAAAATGTCGGCCGGGGGGAGTTGGCGCTTCCTGTCATTATGTTGTTGGTCGTAGCCGCTCATCACTGCAAAGATATATACGGTAATTTATTTGCTTTTTAAGCACGGTATTTTCAAAAATTTACGCTATGCCAATTATATAATAAGACACCAATTAATTCTACAATAATAATAATAATACTAACTAATAATACCATAATTACGACAAGTATTTTAAAATATTTTTACAATTTTACGACACCACGATACGCACCGTACGATATTGATTTTTACCTTCGGTAAGCGCCGTGCGGACTGCTTCTAAAAAACTCGAAACTGGAATTTTCGGTGTTTCATGGAAAAGTAAAAATATAAGCTCTTTGGAAAACCTTAAGAATACTTTGAATTGCCTCCAAAAACTTTCAATTTTGATCGTTAAAATCTATACCTGCTAAAAACTATAGATTTTCATACTTAAAGAGAGCATTACCAAATAAATTTTAGCCCAGCACTGAGAAATTTACGATTTTTCAAACATCAAAATCTGGGGGGTTGGTAAAATCGAATATCCGGAAAATTAGGTATTAAAAAACGTGGCGATCGCCAAATACGTAATAAATGTTTCGAGAAGAACTTGGATTTTATGAAACATAAAAATCTAATCATTTGAAAATTTTTGAATTTGAAAAACTGAAAAGTAAATAACAAAGCCAATGGAATCTACGGAATAAAATTCAGACCAAAACTTAGAAGTGCACAATTTTTTGAAACATCAACTTTTTTTCACAAGTAAAATATTTAGAAAAATCAATCTTTTTATAAATTTAAGCTTAATTAAATCCAGAAAAACTCACTCAAATGGCCCTGTTGGGGGTTGAGCGCGCCGGGCGCGTTCGACGCCATCGCCATCGTCGACGCGCTCGACGTCGGCGGCACGTTCTGGAAAAACTAAATTTGCCATTCCATTGGTTGTATATTCATTTCCATATATAGTTTTTTATCGAATTTTGCGGTCTGAATTGAAATTAAGCTCAAATTTGGTCCGTAAACTTCGATGTTTCATTTTTACACCGTAAAAACGTGAATAGATACTCTACGCTGGCTAGAACCTGATAAAGACCCTAAATTCAATAATTTTCTTAATTAATACCACTTAATTTAATGCAGGCATTATATCTTTGATTCAATAAAGCTTTCTCAATTTCGCCAATTTTTTGAAAAATCATGTTTCAGAAAAACCAGAGTTTGATTGGCTGCTGCAAGACTTAATAGGTCGTTGTTGTTACTCAACATATCAATGCTAAATTTTCCTGATTCACAATATAAAAAATGGATTTTTTTTTATCGTGGGTTGCTGCCCTTTGGTTTATCTTTAAGATACCTTTAAAATACTTTTTATAGAATCCAACGCCCATTTTTCATCTTTTTTCAGATTGGAAATTAAAAAAATTATGTTTCAAAAAATCAGTGTTTCCGCAAAATTTTGCCGAGGTTAATTTGTTGGTTTTCCGTTTTTGCCAATATTTAGTAAAAAAAAGTAATTTTCTGGGTTCCTAGTCCCTTTAACATACCAGGAAATTATCCTCAAAGAACTCACTCGGCTCACCTGCGATGTGTGGGGGATGCCGACCGGGATTTGGGACCGCTGCTCGGGCGTCATTTTGCAGTCGTGCGTTTGGAGGAATCGTTGGAGGTCCGTGATCTGGAATTGAGCATGAGTATTTCCCAAATGATCTCTGCTAGCCACCCCTTCTCAATCCTCAATTTTCTCTGCTAGCCTGCCCCTTCCCCTCTCTCTCATCCCAAATGATCTCTGCTAGCCTGCCCCCTCCCCCTCTCTCTCATCCCAAATGATCTCTGCTAGCCTGCCCCCTCCCCCTCTCTCTCTCATCCCAAATGATCTCTGCTAGCCCGCCCTCACCTGGCTCTTCAGCTCCTTGATTTGATTGTCCTTCTTGCGGTTCTCGTCCTTTTGCTTGTCGACTTGCTGAAAAAAAGCGGTTGTTTTTGGGTTTAAAGGGGGTGTGACAGTTATAAAAACCCGTTTTAAAGGGATAGTGAAGGCTAAAAAACTATTTTAAAGGGATTGTGAAGGCTAGAAAAACCCATTTTAAAGGGACAGTAACACCTAGCCGACCTCTTGCAACGTGTGCATCAACTCTAGCCGTCTCTGCCTGCATCTGGCCGCGGCCTCCTTATTCCGCTGCCGGCGCTTCAACTTCTTGTCGTAGTCCTCGTCTTCCATTTCCGGCTGCAAAAATAGACGTTTTTGGGTTTTAAATTTAGGTATTTGCATATTATTTTTAAGTCGTTAAATCGCGTGTTATTACCGTATCCGCCACCACTTTTTTATAAATACGCGAAAAATTTGATCTGCCCTCAACTTTTTGAGAAATAAATGTTACAAGGAAATTCAAAGTATTTCGCATTGGAAATGGGTGTTAATGGTTCGGTCCTAGATCTGATAGCCAACATCTATAAAAAATCAGCGCGCTAAAGCCTCAAATCTGAATCGAAGTAATTCGAGCTAAAATTTGATACTATCAAAACCGTAGTACTAAACTATAAAACTAGATTATGTTTTAGTAACGGGGGAAAAAGTAAAATTAGTGTCTCTCCCGGATAACGGTCCGATACCACGAATACTGTAATGTTTCAAAAAAATCTTTAGCTGCGTGCGTAAAAGAACATGTTGATGGTCATTTTACATATTTGATCAAAAAATTACCTAAATAAATAAAATTAAGTTAAGGACCTCAAACACATTAATTCGATTTTATTCCCAAAACATTCTAGAAAACGATTAGATGTTTCAAAGAAATTCCGATTCAACCTACCTTAATTACCTTAATTACTTGGAGTAGAATGAACTGCGCGCATATTTTTTTTGAGAAACGAACAAGCTCAAAAATTGTTGTGCTGTATTAATTAAAAAGTTCACAATCAAGCTGAAATCACGGAATTAATCGATAACCTGAGTAACTTAATGTTTCATAAAAGCTCCATTACACTTGCACCGAATGATATTCAATAAACGGGCATTACCTCATATTTCAAATTTCAATTTGAGTTTATGATCTTCTTATATTCAAGCAAATTAAATAACATTGGAAAAATTTTTAAAATACTATAAAAGTCAAAAATAATAAATTTCCGGGAAATGCCGGATTCGATCGATCACCCGAGTAAATTAATGTTTCGTAAAAATGCCATTACACCTGTGTAAAATCATGTTTAATTTTTACTCGGACATGAGCAAAAAAAAAACCGAAATCAAAGCTTACACTCTTTTTTATATTTGAACATGAAATAATCCTCGATAAATTAGTAAAAAAGTCGATAAAAACTTAATTAATACTTGGAAATCCGGCAATCCATATGTATGTTGACTTAATGTTTCACAAAAGTTCCGTTCCGCCTTTGTAAAATCGAAACTAATGTATGATGCTTCCCGTACTTCATTTAAAACTTATTAAATTGCCATAAAAGCCTCATAAATCCGCGCCAAGTTTCAAGAAGCCTTGCACAATTTAAAATTTAAGAATTTTGAAAAAGGGACCTATTTTAATATTTTAAAAATAAAAACAAATCTATTTTTATCTTTAAACAAACTAAATAAGCTTGAAAAAGTTATTAAAAATACCTATAAAAGCTTAATAATCCACGGGAGAGACCGGAATCGATCAATAACCGGACTTCCGGTTTTCGGGTAACACAACCCCGAAGGAAAATCATTGCATTACGCGATGTAATTCATTACCATGTCGTCGTCGGGGGCCGGGGGGCGTCGGCGCGCCGTTTTTAGCGATTTTTAGGGAATCTGGGGATGGCCTGCCCCTAATCGGTGCCTTTAATTGGGCGCGGTAGAACCGAGAGTGAGAGAGGGAGGTGTGGGCCTTTTCCGGGGAGCGCAGGGGGCGAGAGAGTGGGAGAGAGGGAGAGAGGCCAGAGAGTGGTGAGAGAGGAGAGGGAGCGGACAGGGCTCTCTTTGGGGTAGGGGGAGACGAGAGAGAGCGAGAGAGAGAGAGAGAGAGAGAGAGAGAGAGAGAGAGAGAGAGAGAGAGAGAGAGAGAGAGAGAGAGCGGACAGTCCCTCTCCTGAGGTCCAGGCAGACGAGAGAGCACGACTCCGTGAGAGAGAGCGAACAAATAAGACCCCGGGAGTGCATGGGAATCTCAGAAGCGAGAGAGCAGGGGAGAGAGCCAAAGAGAGAGAGAGAGACGCAGAGAAACTGCTCTCCAGCCTCGAGACTGCTCGGAACACTGCCCTCTCCTGACCTGCGGATACGGTGGCGGGAGCGCGGGATAGGCGAGAGCGAGCGTGGCTGTTCCGGGGAACTAGCGTAAAATACATTGATTCGAGGCAGCCTAGCAGCGATATTTAGAGAAACTATTTAATGTTGAAATGGATTTCTAGCGTGAACATAAGCAGCCAATTCAAATCAAAAATTTCGGCCGAAACTTGCGATTTTCCGAAACATTTTTACGCTAGAGAATCCTAGACAGATCCTGTGCCTCCAGACATCTGAGGATTACGGTAGGAGCAGCAAAACGGGTTTTCCGTTTCGTTAGAATCGATTGCAAATATATTCTTGCCCTTCCTGTGCTTTTAAAACAAGACGATAAAGTTTGGAGACGTCAGGCCATTAATTTGCTTCTTATTGCCCATTATTTGAGGTTTTGTTGAAACATTTTATTTATCACTTAACTGTTTAAGTTTTATATCCGTATTCTTAGTATTATTTTTTCAAAGACAAAAACCATATAAACAGTCTATAACGATCTAAATTTTGCTGAATGCAACGATTTTTAATTTTTCACATCTTTTGAAAGAAAGTGAAACATGGTTTTTTTGTCAAGCCTGAGGCCTAAGCCAAGCCTAAGCCAAGCCTAAGCCAAGCCTAAGCCAAGCCTAAGCCAAGCCTAAGCCAAGCCTAAGCCAAGCTGTCGCCTAAGCTTAAGCCCAAAAACTATTTCTATTTTTTACGTTCTTTTTCGGCCCCTCAAAAATCAGCTGGCCGATTTCCTGGGGGCGGCTTTTCCCCCGTGGCTCGAAAAAACGAGGGGTGTGTGTGTGGAAATGACGTGGGGTGGCGGTTCCAGTTGGGGCAGAGAGAGCGGGAGAGAGAAAGAGAGAGGGAAAGGGAGAGAAAGTGTGACTCACCCCGCCCGGGCCCCCTCGTGACTCACAAAACCCAGGGGGAAATCGAAGGGTTTATTTGCGAAAATAGAGAGGGCAGGTTGGCCGAGGTTATTGGGAATTTTCGAGTTCAAAAAGTTTTTCAAAGGCAGGCCAGCAGAGATTCTTTGAGGAATTCAAGGGGCAGTCTAGCAGAGATTCTTTGAGGAATGGACGGGCAGGCTAGCAGAGATTCTTTGAGGAATGGACGGGGCAGGCTAGCAGAGATTCTTTGAGGAATGGAGGGGCAGGCTAGCAGAGATTCTTTAGGAAAAGCTGCCAAACCCGCTGAATCAATAAACGCAATACCTTTAGACAAACAGAAAAGACGAAAGCCGGCCCGGAAATTGGCCAGAATCTCGGCGGACTACAAAGAAAATTAGCCAAATCCGGGAAAATCCCCTCGGTGAGGGAGAGGGGAAAGATTAGTGCCGATGCCCTGGGGGGGGGATGTTTTTTGGGGGCTATGACGGCTTAATGATTTTTTTCTTCAGGGCAGAGGGTAGTTCCGGGAAAGCAAAAAAAAATCCAGAACCAAAAAATTTGCCCGCGAAAAATACTGAAAAAAATATGTTTCGAAAGTTCTTAAAAAACGTAAAAATGTTTGGAGATATAATTGACAATGTTGGTCGCCATTTCATAAAACGCGATAAATATCATCAAGCTCACTAATTTTTCCTGGAATTCATGAGCCTTTTAACCTGTTAATTAACAGCTATTTTTAGACAAATTTTGTTAAAGTTACAAAACTTTAAAATTGAATTTCTAAATTTTAATAAAGGTGTTTTACAAATAAGCGGGGTCTTCTACAAAATCATAGTCACTGGACGATGAAATCGCCGTTAATTCTTGTCATTCCTTATGTTTTTGTATATAACTAAACCGACAAAACGTTACTCGACTAACCAAATTTCTGAAACACTGAAAAATATCTGCAAAACTTTCAAGGTAGCGTATCGAAGTTTTAGCTAAAAAAAATTAAGCAAACTCCAAACTGTACTTAATAAAAATGCTTCGCCAATGTTCGACGTTTGTTTTAGAAAAATCAGAGAAATGCGAGACGATTGAGAAAAACCTCTTGGATTTAAAAATTGCCGAAAAACATCGCGACGAATTATACTAATAAAAACGGATTCGTGTAGCAGTTGTTTTGAAACATTTTTGTATTCACAAAAATTGCAAAAAACAAATCAAAATCTAATTGATCTAAAGGCCAAAAATAGCAAATACAAAATTATGGGATCTCATCTGAAATTAAAGTCGAAAAGAGTTTTGTAGCCAACCATTTCTCAGAAACATTCTTGTTAATTGATCGAAAATCATGGTTTTTACCTTAAAAAATTGAAATCACTAAAAATTGACCCAACTTTTTTGCCTTGAAAATTCATCAAAATGTGTAAAAAACTCAGCATTTTTATTCCTATTAAGACAGCAACCGATTTTTGAAATGCATAAAATTTTATGCCTGAATAAAATTAAGCCCGTAAAAACTTGCACTACCAGTAATTTTCTTGAAACATTTTTTAGGAAGTTTGAAAATTTTAAGATTCTATGATCCTTTTTCTAATCAAAAATTTACTAAAAAAATTCCGCAAATGGCCTCTGCTCTGTCACATCATTTTTTTCAATTTTTCCATGAATTTTACCTGTTTCTCGTAAAAATATCCGCCCATATTAGTGCCCTCCAGTCTTCACAAAATTTCTGGGTGGCCGCGACGGGGAGGCCCGGGAGTTGATATAGTATATGGAATTACTAAAAATATAACGATAGAAAATGGAGAAAACGATTACCAGAGATTTAGAAAACAGAAAATTGCAAAACATAAAACAAGAAAATGAAGGAGAAAACGGAACATAGGATAATTAAGTTACTGCAATTTTTATTCGAGTAGAATCAACTATGAAACCTTTTAATTCTAAATTTAAAACCTTCATTTAATTTTGGTAGTAATATTGGAGCTTTCGCATTATCGGGGGGGCGGCTTTGCAGTAAGGTCCAATTTTTCTAGACGAAAGAGAGAAATCTTTCAAAAAAATTTCAGAAAACAGAAAAACAACAAGATAAAA